AACAAGCGATAAAAGAAGAGGAAATGGCCTCAAGTTGTGCCAGGGGAGGTTTAGATTGGACATGAGGAAAAATTTCTTCACTGAAAGGGTTGTCAAGCATTGGAACAGGCTGCCCAGGGAAGTGGTGGAGTCACCATCCCTGGAGGCATTTAAAGACGTGTAGACATGGTGCTTAGGGACATGGCTTAGTGGTGGGCTTGGCAGTGCTAGGTTAATGGTTGGACACGATGATCTTAAAGGTCTTTTCCGACCTAAATGATTCTATGATTCTATGAATCTCTTCTGTGTCAGGATGGAAAGCCGAGCCTGTTGCTGGAAAAGAGGGTCTGGGCATTTGCTGGTGGGGGAAAAAAAAACATTTCCAATCCTTTGCAGCGCAGGATTACAATACAGTATTTCCTTCTCCTGCCACACTTAATTCCGGATTAAACCCTGCATCTGCACTGGGCGGGGGTTGCTGGAGATTAGCCGATCCTGCCACCCTCACCATGATGCCGCTTGATTAAAAATAATGAAAAAGCAGACGGGGTGTGAATTTTTAGCATGCACAAGCCCTGGGAAGGCTGCTAAGGTTGCAGGGTACCTGGGCATCCCGGCCCCGAGCATTAACACACATCGTGCCCAGGCATGGGGGAGGTATCATGCAAGGTTTTTGGGGGGATGCTGCACTGTCCTGGAGGCATTGCGTTGAATTTGGTGGCCGGCGATCACTCCTGCTCTGCAAAAGTGGGATTGTAGGAAAATTCCTCATCCAGTGAGCTTGGGATTTGCTGGGGAAAGACAAGACCCTGATGCAACTCTCTGTGGAAATACATGCAATTGCTGCGCTTGGAGGAGTGGTCCACAGTGCAGCATGGGGGAGAGCTGGTAAAGCGATAACGGGGTAAAATAAGAAAGAATTGGGTTTTTCTAGCAGGTCTCAAAGTTGATTAGGATCTGCAATGAGGTGCTATTAGAAAAAGGAGAAAGCAAATCTCTCCTGGGAGTTACTAGCAGAAGTGGCGTGCAGGAGGGAATTCTTGCTCTGCAATTGAGGCTGGGGGACGGCAGCAGTTTTGGGTGGAAAGCTTTAAGGAAAATCCAGCTGCCATGGAGGAAATCTGCAGGAGAGCGAGAAATCCTGTGGGAAATGGGTTTGCTTAATTGGGGAAGGGAAAATTTGGGGCAAGAGGAGAGGGATGAGTACTTAGAGCCAGTGCAATGCAGCGTGCATGGGGATGGGTGGCATCTCCTGCCCATTGCACCTTGTTTTGCCAAAATCTGTTGGCTTTAGCTCATGGGATGGGAACAAAATTGGGGTGCAAGCAAGCCTAGGTTTAGAGGAATCTGCCTTAAATAGCTGGCGCAGGGTTTTTCAAACAGTGCGAATGGCAGGCT